TTTCATTACTGATAGCATTTCGTTAATTTTACTTACAGTCAATAGTAATTTAGTTTATTTTGCTTACTGCTTCTGTTATTGTAATTTTGTTATTCATCTTGATAAAATTTTTGTCAGCAATGTTCGCTTTCAATCTGCCATTTGTTGTTTTGTAGAACAAAAAATAATCAAATTCATCGCTACAACAACTTTGAAAGACAAAATTTTTTCTCAACATGAGAAAAAGATAGATTAATGTGAAAAAAATTCCAGAAATAAAATAATGAATGAATGTCGAACATTATGTTTGAAAGCCTGGGTGTAAAATTTAATCAGCGTTTAAAAAGATTTTAAATTTAAAGAGCGAAATAATTGTTCAGACAAAATTAAATTTTCAACGAATAGAGAATAAATTTAGGAGGATGAGAGCTAAAAAGAAATTTTGAAAATTGAAAAAAAAACATTATGAAAACAGAAGAGAAATGATGATGAAGTAGAAGATGCAAACAATCGTAGCAACGTATCTATAAACAACTTCACTTTCTATTAAACACCTGAGATTGATGACGCAAACAGAATAAGAACATTAAAACTAAAACGAAGCACACTGCTGCAACAAAAGCAACAACATTAAATAAATAAAAACAACGTACGAAGCAACTTGCTATGACGTCATACTATACTACAACTACAACAAATAAACAAACTAACATAACAAAGAAAGAAACAACAACTAGCCAAGAATACCACAAAACATTACAAAAATATAAACAAAAAGAGACAGCAAAGTATTTAACAACAACACATCACCCACCACTTCGTGGTCTGTAATAACAATTTGTACAACAAAAACTTAGTGCCAAAAATGGGTACATTAAAAACACTTGCAATTAAAATATGTGCCGACAACACTGACCAACTGTAAAAATACATCCACAAGAAGCTATTTATTACAAGCCTTCTTAACAGCAAATGGCAATAACTCTAACAAAAAGTTACTGGCTTCAAAATCAGTCATTTTGTAAATGTCTATTAATTAAAATCTTTCAAAAACGGAAATAAATTTTAATTGACTGCACCATGACGCTTGATAATTGTTTGTTAAATGAATTTAAATTAAATATCAAACTGCCAACACATTTAGCCACATCTATTTCATTGCAAAACAACACGCTAGTTCGTGTGCGTGTGTAGATCCAACGAATGACTACTCAGTTATTAGCATTAGAAATAATTTACATTGTGACGAGGAAAAGATTGTTTGAAGATCAAATTTCAAAACTTCAAAAAATCGTTGACAATCTTTTAAATTAAACCAGAAAAAATGTCCCATAAAATGGATCAATGATTTCTAACCGACCGATCTCAACAATTAACAACAAACGTGAAGCCTTAAAAAAAATCATCAACATAAACAAAAATTTTCCTGCGCGTACCAACAATATCAACAATCAAAACAAATTTAATTCAATTTTATTTCCTATTGAATTTTCACATAACCAGCTTTCATTGTTACAACCAAAGGAAGGTTTAACTTCAGGATTCAGAAATTAAGTCTCATTCAACATAGGTGTGCTGCTTGCTATGTATTCATTCATCCCTTCTTGCATTCATTCATTCTTTTAATCAGTCATTCATTTTTTCATGTATTTATTTATTTATTCATTCATTTATTTAAAGCTTAGATTAAGTTGAAGACTATAAACAATGGCAATGTGTAAGATCGTAAACAAAATGCTTTTTTAACATAAGATTAAGTTATAAAAAGATTTTAAAATGATTTTAATATTATCTGATGCAATTTATAATTATGGAAAACATTGTTTTTACAATTTCAAGCAAGCGTATGGAATGTCTAAAAAAAAATTCTTTCTACGTTGTTAACAAAATCAATTCACTTTTTTTACTAGTTAAATTTTTTCTATCAACAACACTACCAAGTGTTATCTATTGCTGATGGCGTCACGAAGTAGTTTTTATCCAACTTGTCCTCTATCGGAATAGTTATTTGACGTTTCAATAGTTTCAAGTGTAAGGCTTCCATCCGTCAGCCACTCAACCACAAAACTGAACATGAACAGGACAAAGTATTTCGAAACAAGCCAATAACACATGAAAACATAGAGATCTATGCAACAAAATCAACAAAATAACAACATGCGAGACAATTTAGGATGGTAAGTAACAATATAAAGCGAGTAATGTTTATAGATGTAATTTCGTGCAAGCAGCATTCGGTGCGTGCAAACATGTGTGCTGGGTTCGTGTGTACTGCATACACTCTAATTTGTTTGTACATTGGTGCAACATGACTCACATACAAACAAACACACAATCACACGTTTTATTTACATGCACGAACAAACCGCACGCACACACACACACACACACGCACACAAGAACACAAACGTATTATTAATGCCATAAAGGCTGCTTGTTTGTTGTACAATGGTGTATGTACAATTTTTGTGCCGCATCAATCAAAAGATCTTTTGGGATCAATAGAAGCAATGTGTTAATATATTTCTAACTTCGTTTAATCTATAACATTTGGGCATGTGTACGTAAATGTTTGCGTGTGTACATGTCTGTGTGTATGTGTGCATGTCTGAGTGTCTGTGTGCATATCGGTATGTATGTATGCATGTCTGTGTGCATATCTGTGTGCATGTCTGTGTGCATGTCTGTGTGCATGTCTGTGTGCATGTGTGCTTGTGCGCACTTGCCTGATGTTGTATTTCCTGGTTGAATGCGGACTGCGCTGCAGATTATTCAGCAAATGATTCTTCAGACGTTTCTTGAAAACTCGTCAAGTTACAGTTAGCGCCTTTCAGGTTTGAGCTGATGAGACAAAAATCTCCTTATTCAAAGCAGGGAAATCGAGAAATTACCACAGTCGACTTAGGTTCAAAACTTCAGAAGCAGGCTGCAGTTGTTCCACAAATAACTTGGCGACATCAGCCAGAACCACTTGTACTTGATTATGAGCGCTTTTGTGTGTATGCCTGTATGTGTCAATGTATGTGTGGATTTTTGAACGAATGTGCACGTTTAAGTGAGGTGTGCACATTTACTATATGAGATTTGCGCATATACGTGTGCATGTACAGTACTCCGTGTTTACACTTGCGTTCTTGTTTTCTGATAAATACAAAGTTATGCGTAGAAAGGTGTGTTTTTAAAAAAGAATAAACTTTAGTTGGCTACAATAAAAATATCTTAATTTGTCGGTTTGTTTTGGTTTGAAAATTCAAAAGTCAAAAATAAATTTATCAATTTTTTAGCAAATCGTTAGTTGTCAGTTATTCAAATTGCTCTTAAAACTTTTACTAAATCAAGTTTTGATTCGAAAAAATTAGTTATTTGCAAAATTTAAAACAAGTTTCTTCACTCTTAATTTCGTACGTTTGCCATAGAAACTTTTTCGTGAATTCACTTGAATATATTTCTTTATTTGTTCATGCGATAAAGAGCAGATTTTGCTTTTCACTGAATCCCACTAGCTTCCAACGGTTTAGTCAATCACAGTAAAAAGTAATTTGGTTACATTCATCTGAACGTCTTCTCGTCATCGATTATCATAATTTATATTGCTTTGTTTGTTTCTTAAGCTAAAAGGTCTTGTCTATGTCAAAAGTTCTGCTTCAAAAGGAGTAGAAATGGCACAATGCACCGGGATCAATAATAATGGGTAGTTTGCCATTTGGCGAACTGCGTAGCACAATGCAGATGTATCTCAATGAAATTTACTTTTCAAGCTTACAAAAAACTTTCAGATCAGTAAAAAAAAATCTTGTTTCAAACAACCAAACATGTCATTAATCAAATATATTTCAAACCTTGTACAATCATTCATTCGTTCATTCGTTCATTCAACGGTTTACTCCACACAACATTACTTCAACTTCTAAAACGTCCGTCAATTCATTCAAACACCAACCATTTTGATTTTAAAATAACAAGATGCACGTGATTTCATGCCGGGCTCCAATCAGTTTTTCATGCAGTGCTTCTTCCTACTTAAACACGCATCCTTCAAATAAGTCATCGTTTGATTTCGACCAGAAAAAAGTTCCGAAGAAAAAAAAATGACGTCATCAATGGATGATTTATAAATGGGATATTACAATCATTCAATCAATTCTGCCACATCCTTTTTGTGATGTAATCAATCTTTGAAAATTTGAAATTAAAACGAGCAACACAATAATTGGACTTTAATCATTCAATCAATCATTTCACTATCTTTCAATACACTTCTTAAAATTTTGACAATGTTTATCCATGCATTCATCTTTTCAGTTGTCAATTTGTTTCTATTTTTCATACATCTTTTCATCCATTCATTCATTCATTCATTCATTCATTCATTCATTCATTCATTCATTCATTCATTCATTCGTTCGTTCGTTCGTTCGTTCGTTCGTTCGTTCGTTCGTTCGTTCGTTCGTTCATTCGTTCGTTCGTTCATTCATTCATTTATTCATTCATTCATTTATTTATTCATTCATTCGTTCGTTCATTCATTCATTCGTTTGTTCATTTGTTCATTCATTCATTCATTCATTCATTCATTCATTCATTCATTCATTCATTCATTCATTCATTCATTCATTCATTCATTCATTCATTCATTCATTCATTCATTCATTCATTCATTCATTCATTCATTCATTCATTCATTCATTCATTCGATCATTCATTCATTCATTCATTCATTCATTCATTCATTCATTCGATCATTCGTTCATTTATTCATTCATTTGTCCTCACTTAAGTTTATATTAATGTCTTTCTATAAACATGAACATTTATTTAGTTTTTCGTCAAATCTGCAATGATAACATCCCACCAACCAGCACAAGACATTATAAAGCATCCAGCATAATTCAAATATTTTTTAATTAAACGATATATTTGTTTGTTTGTTGTTGATCGTCAACAATAATTTAATAATTATACTCATCATCATCATCATCATCATCTTCGTCATCATCATCATCATCATTATCAGGACTCACCATCTTGTTATTAATTTCGTGGAAAGGTTTCTGACAGACAAGTTCAGCGACATCGTCCTCTTCGAAGGTCACGAAGCCAAAACCTGTGTGCGTGTGTTTGTGTACATGTGTGTGTATGCATGTGTGTGTATGCACGTGTGAGTGTGTATTATCTCTGTGTGAGTGTGCGTGTGTAAGAAAGAGTGTGTGTGTGTGTGCGTGTGAGTGTGTGTGCATGTGTAAGTGTATGTGTGCGTGTCAGAGAGAAAAAAGTGTGTGCGTGCGTGTATGTGTGCGTGTCAGAGAGAAAAAGGTGTGTGTGTGCGTGTATGTGTGCATGCGTGTGAAAGTATGTGTGTGTGTATGTATGTGTGTGTGTGTATGTATGTTGTATGTATGTATGAGTGTGTGTGAGAGAGTGTGTGTATGTGTGCGTATATAATATAATATATATATATATATATATTAGTGTTTTATGCATTCATATCTTTTTGTATACCTGTAAGCCTGTAAGAAGAAAATTTAGTGCACTCTTATGAGTATCATCTTTTTTAAAGGATGTAAATATGCAAATGCGGGAAAATTCAGAGACAAAATTTTTTTATTTAATAGCATTAACTTATTCAGTGAGATGTTGTTTAAACTGTGATCATTTTACATTGTTTGCAGTTAAGTCAGTTGTCAGCTGCATTTTAACACTGACAAGTCAAACCAACGAAAACAACAACTTTGTAGATTCTTCCAGTAAAAAAAATAATAACCAGATCATGGAACATCAAACGACGAGCACGAAAAAAATCAATATTGTCAAAAATACTTCAGTAAACTTTAGCAGATTTTTCGGGGAAACCAAAACATACTAACAACATCTGCACCTTGCAACGCGCACACGCGCACACACACGCACAAGCAGGCACACTTATATATTCAAAGAAATAAACGGCATGTAAAGTTATGAGTGTAGTGCTCGAGTAATAGTTTATTATTTTAAAAGCGCACGGCAATAATAAACCGTGAAGCGAGCGGGCGACCGTCGTAAAGATACAACAAACGACAGACCGGGACGTTTTATAGGATGCATAAATTTCTTCATTCACATTCAACTTACAAGCAACTACGCAATAACACGCACATTCACACGCACGCACACACGCACATTCACACACACATATATATATATACTTACATTCACACATGCACCCGCATGAACAGGCACGTACACACACACACACATATTCACATGAAAACATGTTGTCATTTGATAAAATTAAAAAACCATAAAACCAAAAAATGCAGAAGTATCTTGCAGTTTATCACCAAAAAATTTAAATAACGATCATCCGAATGTTTATTGAAAAGCTTCTGAAAAACTCCACCTGAAAATAATATTGGATAGCATGATAACATCATGTTTTATGAATCATCATAACCGGTCATTCTTCACGAATTCGAGTTCTTAGTGTTGACCAGGAATAATATTCAGGATTGAGTTGCAAAGTGAACGTTTTTTATTCTTAAAACAATCAGTTTTCGTCGTATCATAAAACATGATGTTATCTGTGACGATATTTTTTTGGGAATATTCAGTGTAATAAGGTAGCAGACATTTTAGGATAACTTGATAAATTTAAAATAGGATTAGGCATTGAACGCTCTGTTAATTGGAAAGATGGATATTTAATTGAATCCAATGAGAGCGCAAATAAAAGATTTGTTAAAAAGGCGAAAGAACGCGATTGCATTGAAGTTATTCGATGTTTTAATCCGGGGCGATATTTTCAGGATTAGCATTCAACATTTGAATTTAACTTTATGTGAGATTTAAAATCCATAATGTGGAACTTGATACAGGTTCACATATATCCAAATGCATACATACACTAGATTTTTAGTAGCTAGCAGAGTAAAAACCGAACTGAAAAGGAAAAGTAAAAATATGGAATTTGAGATTTAATTATTTCCTTATAAAAACCGGGTATTTTTATTTTGTTTAATCTTTAAAATTTTAAATATTATTTTAAAATTTTAATTTCAAAAAGTTCTACGAAATACTCTCGAATCTTCTGATGTTAATTACTTTCAAACAAAGAATTGAATAAAAAAGGATTTTAAAATGTAAGTGTCAAAGTGTGAATGAAAAAGGAAAAATATTTTTCGTTAAAATATTTCAACAGTCGAATAAAACTCAAAGCTTCTTCAATCCTTTACTAGGAAGTGAAAATTTATTTCATATCGCAATTTAACTTTTCCAGTTAAACTAAAATAATATACGTTTAAAAAAACTAATAAAAGTTGATTAAAAATTCGACTCAATGAAATGATAAAGAAGATGTGCGTGGTGGTAATGATGCTGTTTATGACTTGAAACTTATTAAAAAGGACAGGCAATATGGCATATTAAAAGTGAATTTAGATTGAGGTAATTTTATAAGACGATGCCTTGGGGATTTTGTGTAAGTGTGCGAATGTGCATGTTTTGGTGTGTGTTCCTGTGTGTGTGTGTGTGTGTGGGTAGTGTGTGTATGTGTGTGGGTAGTGTGTGTATGTGTGTGTGTGTGTGTGTAAAATGTACGTGCGTGTGTTTGTCAGGCTAGATATGGCGCGCGTGTGCGTGATGGTAAATAGTCCAATAAATTCAAAATAGGATAATTGCAGTATAATTGTTTCGTTGTAGCGTGAAATGTTATCCAAGAAACTTCTAATGCATTATTTTATTTTATAAAGACCGTCCTTGACATTTAACACGCGCCTGTAAGCTGAAACTTATAAATTTGGGATAGATTTTTAATGCATACGTTGTCAAATTTGAAATTAAGTTTTTAATTTGTCAAGAAAAAATATTTTTAATCATTTTTTTTATTTATATGAGAAAAGTGAATTACAAAAGAGATTATTAGCTAAATAATAAACAGAATGATAATACAATGTTATATTTATAAATGAAATATGAAACAAAAACTTAAGAATTAGAGAAAGAAAAGAAAAGACTGGAAAGAAAAGACCGGAGCCATTCATCAAGAAAGCAAAGGTATGATAAATCGTTTTCTTCTCTGCTGCATCACTGATAATTAAGCGCCACCATTCTCTTACGCTTGCAAAATAACAGATCTCTTTTATCTATAATAAAACATTCAACAGCAAAAATAACAAGATAAGGTGTTTTTAGACTAATTAAATAGCTCTACTTTGGTTTTCTGTGATTATTTTCCTCTATCAGTCATGCATTTTTTAGTTCCATATCCATACAGGTTATAGGTATATATACAATAATGTCAAACATTTGACAGACTTTATAAAATACTCTTTATGTACATACCAATAGATTTTTTTGAGATACATAAATGAATCCAAATCGAAAATGGAAAAAAACGAGAATTAATATTGATATCAAGAATGAAAAAAATATCGAGAAAAAATTATTTTTAAAATAAATGTTAACGAAACAACACACCAATACACTGCGTCACTGTTAAATAACTATAAAATATTTGAGAACTAAATCAAAAACCTATTTATTTTTTAATACTATCTAATAAATGATTGACACCAGATCAAATGCGGGACCGCAAATATACAACTTATACAGAGACACTCAGCAACGACAAAACCAGATAAAGACTTCAACTACATTAACTGCCTTCCCAAACAACAAGTTTTGCAACAAAGCAACAATCTAAATAAAAAACAAATAAATGATACACTCATTTTCACAAAAACTTTCATTAACAACAACATGGACAACATTCAAAACAACACAAACCACCACCAAACAAACTCGAACAACATTAAAAGTATCAAGCACAACGGGTGTCTACAGTAATAAATTCATACAAAACTTGATGGTTAAATGTTTGAATTTTTATCTACTCCCTACCCAGCCATTAATCATCATAGCCGCAAAGTGTTCAAGTTTTTCATTTGGTGAGGTGATGCTATGTTATTGTGCATACGAAGCAAGGAATCTCAGGATGAATAATTGTAATTATAACCTGCCTGATGTCCACTTAAACTTTAATGAATGTGCCACGTGCGTGTGTGTGTGTGTGTGTGCGAGTGTTTGTGTGTGGATTACCTTCTGTATATTATAATGTCTGTCAGTGAGTGTGTGTAAAATTTGTAGACATTAGTATGAAAACCAGTACAGTTGTTTAAACGTCTTTGTGAACGTGCATCCTGTTGATTTATTTGAATTATTTTTTGCATTTTTGTGAGCGCTTGGCTGTAGAAAAATTTCATTCAAAACGATCCCTTATTTACGAATGTATTAATTTTTTATATGTTAGAATCTTGGCTTCATCTGATGTCTTTATGAGCCGTGTATGTAAAATAGTTTTTAGCACTTTTTTTTATCACAAAACCGTACAACAATTTTGGTGATGTTGATTGCTAAATCAGAAAATAAGTAATTTAAAAACGAAAATCAGTAAAATGTTCTAAATATTCAAACAATCATTATCATACTAAACAATTAATTGAATTATTTCTAATTGCAAAAAGCACTATAATTACAATAATGACAAAATATTTTTTTTCTTATAAAAAAATATTATATGTAACTTTAATAAACTTGTTGAAATGTGTACTTACATCACAAGTTTTTTTGTTACTGATCATTTCATAAAATGGAAAAGAAAGTTTTTGTTTGAGCACGGAGATGAGCGGTAGAATGAAAGTGGAAAATATTTTTCCAATGTTTCCATGCAGTGATGAATTTCTACGTCAGCCTCTTTATTAAGATTAATTACATGCAACTTCTCATTTGTTTTTCAAATTTTCTCCCTAATTATAAACATTGTGGGCATGTTTGGCATCATTTTTATAATTTAGACGCGTCACTCACATTTCTGTTCAGCTGAATTCTATTTTCTTTATAATCAGTTGTTTTTATTCAGCTTTGTAGTACATTTGCACTTTTTATTTTCGTTTTGTTCTGTTCAATTTTAATCATCAAACAATTTTAATTTTCTACACGAGTAAGGTAGAAGTGCATGTAGCAGGCGTTGTGAAGATGACGACGACGACAACGACGTTGGAGCATGTCAAAACTAATTTGAAAGCGGCATAAAAAGAGAAAATCTCGTTAAATGAAATTAAGAATTCCAGG